TGACGTGTAGATTCTGGTCTGGAGACGGTAAAGAAGGAGCAGATTCTGCTTATTAAAATCCCGCTAACACGCTGGTCATCAAAAAGCCCCAAGAGGCCAGTTTCTCTCTCAACCACTTTAGAAGCTTTTACAGGAAATCGGCTTCATTTCTCGCCACCCCGTCTGCAGTCGGAGTCTGAACGACTCTCAGGAGGTCATGCTGTTCCAGCAGAGCGGCACATTAAGCGCAAAAAGATGAAGCCGAGACATCTTGTTTCAGCGGAGCGAAAATTAAGAGGAATAGATGTTAAGATGATCTGAACAGAGTGTGGATGAGATGATGCAGCAGCGGCAGCAGGGAGGGACCTGAGGAGGAGCGGCCGTCGATCCGTCCTTCCGGCAGGAAGTGTTTGCGGATCAATAAGAGGAGAGGATCTACGGAGGGAGACGGCACCGTCTCTCCATCCACAACTGGATATTCCTCTTTCCAGTGTTTAAATTAGCAACAGTGGCATAATTCAGATTACCTTCCAAACACATCCTGTTGATTTCCATCGGTAAATGAATGTGAAATCCTGTTGATCCTATTTGTGATCTTTGTGGCTCTTGATTTAAATGAGGATTTACTTTCTGGGACTTTGTTTCCTCCAGCATCAAAGACACTTTAAAAAAAAAAAATCTGAGTTGGAGAGTAACAGTAACTTACTTTTAACTAGTGTGGATTATTTATTTGTTCTCCATGCTGAGTTCTTGATGTGCGAGGTTGAAGAAGAGTCAGCGAGTTGAATTCATGAATTCCGTTTATTAATACCAAAATACAGCTGCTCCATTTCTCATGCTACCTTTAGGAGTTAGCAGGACAAAATGGCAACACAAGTTTTCCATTCCCTTTGTTGGCGTCTGTGTAAGCTACGGCCTAAAGAGGGCGCTACCTAACATGTAATTTCCTTTAGCATTAGCTTAGCAACTAGCTAAAAGAGGTAGACGGAAAAGCACATAATTATTTATTCTCAACACTAGTAACTTTTTGTGTAAAAACAATGTTTGAAGTTATTGAAGTTTCCGGGATTTAATTAATAAATTGCATTAGGCTGTGAAAACAACTTACCTACAAGTCATAATGTATTAAAATATATATTTTTTTTTTGTGGAAAGAATTGACACAGCGGTTTCTACAAAATATGGCTTCCTAAGAGTTATCTGACAAGCTAAATAAATTTTATTTATCTTCTCTTTTTTTAAGAGAATCACATCATTTGAAGGGATTTACTTATTGTGTTGCTACCTGACCCAGTTTTCTTTTGAAGTGCACCACAGCATTAAGCTCAATCAGATATTAAGGGTTTTCTATGCAGGTTCTAAGAATGTTTGGCATTTAAGCTGTAGTATTTATGAATGATGTATCAATATTTCAGCAGACTGTCATCCAATCGATCGACCTGTACGCACAATGTCCTCACTTCCACAGATTTGTTTCTGCTTTGCTAGCAAAAAAGCAAACAAAAAAAAAACCTCAGCGCAGACTGAGTGCATAAATCCTAGACTCTGTGCTTTCGTTTATCTGTTTGCTGCCAGTAAATGATTTGCTCATCGCAAGCTTAAAGGCTGCCGAGTGGAGAGTTTGGAAAACAAGATTAATTTGTGGCTTGATTAAGGCGAAAGGCCTAACCGGTGACCTGCTGAAGCAGCTGATCATCCCCGCTCCATCACCAGGTGATTATTTTCGCCCTCCGTTCAACAGATCTGATCCTCTCAGGAAGGATTACGCCGAGGCTAAGCTCGCTGTGCCACTTACTGAGAGGAAAGCGGCAGCGAGGCACACGAGAAGTCACGGTTTCTGCCAAACAACCTGCATATGGAGGGAAGACGAACGGCGTCGAGCTGTTTGGTTTTTTTCCTGAAAAGCATCTCAAAACGAGGATGTCCTGCTACATATCAGCTCTTTGAACTTCAAATAGCATAAGTTTTATTCTTTTAATTATTTAGAAAGTTATTCAACTGTTGTTGCACAGCAGATGTTACCTTGTTTTGCAGAAGATATCAACCAACACGCTCTTTTACCTAGAAAGGGGGGGGGGGCGAGATTTATTGTTTGAAATGATCTCACAACATCTCATAAAGTCAAAATATCGTTTCGGGTCATTATGGTATCGGCTAGTTGTCAAAGTACTTTAAATCCTTTTCCAGACAAGTACCGATACGGTTCTCTGACAATAACTCTGTCAGTAGCACACCAAGCTAAATGCTTTAGCTTTAAATAGAGCAAACCTCTTTGAAAATGTGTCAACCTGACGTGACAAACCTGTTTTTATCAAAGTCCTCTCTTCAATTTTTGATGTTTGTTTTCGTTACTTTAATTGTTCAGTATTGCTAAACGTATATTATACATGTTGTTGTTATTCTCAGCTGTTAGGCAGTCGAAAGATGTATTCATTTTATTATTTTGAAATGTTCAGCGTGTACCATCGTAGAAATCTGACTTTTGGTACTTTAAAAAGGTTGAAATTGCTCATCAATGTTTACTTTCCCGCTGGAGTAACAATAAATACATAAATAAAAAATAATGACATTTCTGAGATTTCTGCAAGTTTGTTTTGTTTTGGCTTACAACCCAACAGTGGAAACATGATGGGAAATACGACGGACCGAGTCGAGGCACAAAAGGCTTTGAAACTTTTTTTTGGTCTGGTTGAGGTCGGTATCGTTTATCAAAGTCATTTCGGTGAAATTGAAACTAAAGAGAAGTTTAACAGGAACTTTGTCGATGACTCTGCCAATTTCCACTTAATCTGCAAGAATCCAAATGGAAAAAAAAAAAAAAAAAACCCTCTTCTGGTTATTTCACAAACTGTTTGATTCCAGGAATTTTACTTCTTTTAACTTTGCAGATTTTATGACAAGATAGACAAAATATCAAGAGCAAAACTCCTTACGGCACAAGTTTCCTGCTTCTCTAGTCTGAAGGAAAATGTTTATCTCGTAATTATCATGGGGAAGTTACGCATTTCATCTCTCATATTAAACGATATTTTGGATGAAACCCTATAATCAGGTTTGCTGTGATGAAAAGCTTCTTTGAGCCTAAACATTTAAAGGGAAAGTTTACGGTTTTGTCATGAACTGTTTTTCTAAGAAGCTGTGAGCAGTCGGTGGAAAATATGACGAAAGAAAAACATTAACTAGTCTTGACCTCTTCGTATTAAGTTAAATATCTTTATTATGAACACAGCTGCTTGGAACTAGAGTGACATAGCTGCAGACATGTTGGGTTAAACATAACAATGCTAAATATAAAGCTGCTGTTACGGCCAATAACTTAATATCAAGCAGAAAATGTCCTTTATTTCAAAACCTAAGCAGTCTGCTGATTTCTGTGATGATGACAAAAGACGGTCAGCAAAAAGCTGATGGAAAAAAAAAAACTGGTCATTTGACAAATTATCCCATTTCCAGTGGTTTCACTTCCTCCCTTGGTCGATGATGTTTGAAAACACTCTGAGGTCAGTGTCATACTGTACTGCAGTAGTATAAGGGTTCATCTGAAATTTGCTACCAAAAGATTATGTTTATGTGTAGATATTTGTTTTACTCATTTTTATTTGCTTTTCCTAATCATCCAGGTCAGGAGGGTCAAACTCATTTTCATTTTGAACTGTATAAAAAATCCGAATGTTCTCAAAGTTGTGCCAGAATGTATTGATAAAACACATTAAACTGTTGAAATATCAATAAATAGCTGTTTCGGCATTCAATAAGTGTTTATTAAAATAAAATAATATTGAACGTCTCTTCAAACTGATCAGTCCGTCCAGGATGCTGTGATTGTTTTTGTGGTTTTTCTGCAATCAAAACCACATATTTTGCTAATTTAGAAATATTTGTAAGAAATTTTTACTTTATTTGTGCTAAAGTGTGACATCAAAGGTGACTTTTTATTAATCGCCATATCGATCATGGACTATAACTCAAGTAACGCTGAGACAGCAGTCACTTAAACCGATTGTATTTTTAGGCCAATTTTAAGAAAAAAAATTCAGTAAAATCAGAGAAAATGTGGGGATCTGTTGATTTTTGTGAGAATTTTGCGTAAACTTTTGTGGATTTGTGAAAAACTGGAGGGACTTCCAGATGTAATTTCTAGTCTAGAGGGCCACATAAAAGCTACAACGGGCCAAGTTTGGCCCCCGCGCCTCGAGTTTGACACGTGTGGTCTGGGTTGTCTGAGAGTGGAAGATTCTCTCCTTCCTCAAAATAAAACGACGTTAGAAATGCGACAGCCTGGGGATTTTGATTATTTTCTCATCACGATGTTCATCTCTCAGCTCAGCTGCTGTGAAATCCTTTAAATCAAAGCATATTCAAATGGCCTAGTCAAAGTTCAGACCTAAATCAAGTTAGGAATTTAAAGAAGAACTTGAAAAATTGATCCTCACAGATGCTTTATTTTTTATAGATGTCCAAAACTATGATCCATCTTGTATTATCAAGTACGGTGTGCTTATGATGTTATAACGCTTATTATGAGACATGAATGTGTGTTTTATTGTGACTTTTGTGTTTTTTTCTCTCTCTTTCTGCAGGTCTAGAGGCAGACATCCGGGATTCTGACTTGTATTATCTCCTTCTTTCCCTTTAAACCTTTTGTCCACCTTTCTTTCTTTCTTACTTTCTTTCTTTCTCCCTTCCTTTTTTTGTGTGTTTTTGTTTTTGTCTCGGTGTTCACAACATTTGAAATAAACCGAAGGCGATTTCTAATAATTTCAAAGCAGAGCATCACGGTGAAAGCTGTAGCGCTCCACCTGTGAAAGTAAAGCTGTCGGGCCTCACCCTGACGCTCTCACTGCCAGATTGGACGCGTTAAAAACAACAAAAATAAAAAACAAACTACACAACATACATTCAGGTTTGTGGGGATTTCTAGGGCCGTGATATCCTTTAACTGTGCCGAACCGCACCTAAGCTCTAGGGATTGCAGTGCCAGCCGCTTTTATTCTGAAAGTCTCCTCAGGAAGTGGTGTGTGTATGTGTCGCTTCGGCTCCTGCTGGTTTTCTGACTGTGGAGCGATAGAGCCCGGTGTTGAGCAGCAGCTGCAGCTCAGTGCGCCGCGCAGAGATGGAGGAAGAGCTGGCCGCCGCTCAGCTCCTGTAAACCGGACAGGAGAGCATCGGACGAGCCGGTGGGGAGGGGCGGGGATGGGGGCTGACTAACCATGGCTGATAGCACCGACTGAACATCCTCACTGGAAACCACCGGGATCGCCTCGGAGATCCGATGAAAGCAGCCCTGTGTTGAGGTGAGTGCTGCTGCTGCTGCTGCTGCTGCGTTTGGACCTGGTTTATTCATCCTGACACCTTCTTTATCTCCCGACGAGACAACGCGCCTTGCTTCCTGAAGGACAACAATAATGATAATAATAATACGGATAGTAAAATGCAGGATTAGTGAATAATCTGCTTGTTTGTTGCACCCGCTTCATCCAACGTCCGCGCTGGAACCTGGCGGGGAAGATTCGGGTTCGGATGGCAGGGAAGCGAGTGCAGTGGGCTGGAGCAGAGCAGAGAGGGGTGAGGACGGGGGGGAACCAGAGTGCGCATCGGGCTCTGCGTGGCATTAAACAGGGAACGGGAGAAGAAGAGGAGGAGGTCATGGTGTAAAAAGAGAGAGAGGGGCTTCTCCGATAATCCACTTAGGAGGCTTAATTGGAGGAGCACAGTGTGGTCCGTTCCGGTCCGGCCCAGCCAGCCCGGCCTGATTGGATGATCCGTGCAGCAGAGGCCCGCTCCGGATGATCCACAGTCATTTGTTCGGGCTCCCATTCATCCGGACCGGGAGCAGTCAGCCATTCAGCAGGAGGCTGCCGCCGACTCCCATTCATGAAGCCCATGCAGCGCGCAGGCTGCACAACGATCCACTGTGGGCTTTAAATAGGCCTGCAGCGGGCGGCCCTGTTTCAGGCCTGCTATTGACTTTCTCTCGTGTGTCAGCAGACAGACAGTTAATATGAAGCCCTAATAAGTCTGATTCTCTCCATGACCGAGGAGGCCCTGCTGGCTGGGAGGCGCTTACAGCCCGATCAGCTGGAGGGATCCAGATCAGAGGCGTTTGTTGTTGTTGCTCTCTGGAAATCGGGGCGTGTGGGATCCGGAGTGGGATTCAAGTGAACCTTGTCCAGTTTCACCCTGAGGCTCCGTGTAATTAGCGCTGTCACCATGGGGAAACCATACGATCTGTTTTTTTTGTGGCTCAGTTTGACAAATTTTAATGTGAGGGTTGGTTATTCTAAGCTGAAAATACAAGTTTTATGATGGGTGTCCTGAAGATACCTGTTGACCTTTGCCCCCTGGATCCCACAGAGAGCGATGCTTGTCTAAAGACTGACTCTTGATCCCGGATTTTACAATCAATACCTCGATAACACCGATCCATCCTGACCTGCGTTTAAAGCCTGGATTCTGCTGAAATATTACTTTGGGAATTTTGACATTAAATATATTTTACACATTCTAAAAAAAAAAAAAAAAATCACACAAACATTAAAAATACTTTTAAACAGCTGATCCGGTCATCCTTCACTCCATGACGTTAAAAACCCAAATGAACTCAGATTAAAGACATCTTAGCTAAAATCTTTGATTAGTTTACGGTGCTTCCATCCATTTCATTGTTAAAAATATCTTTTTTTTTTTTTACATTTTATTAATATATACCCAAAACATTATTCATTTAGAACCCCTGCCTCTTATTATCTGTCAGCTGCTCTTCACTTGTTAACCAGCAGACAGGTGTGATGCTAACATGTAGCTCAGCGGTGTTGACAATAATCAATGGAGGAAATCTGTCTGTTTAAGAACGTGCTTGGATATTTGTTGGTCTAAATCCACTAAAAACACGACAAGAAAAATCAGTTGATTTTTGCTTTGATTTGACACGTAACCACAGCAACGTCTCCTAAGGGACCTGATGAGATGCTACGGCTACGATCAAATAATAAGAAGCTTCTTATTCACTCCTCCTTGAATTACCTCATCACACGTTATTAAATATTGACGTACACTGCTGACAGAAGCGTAATGTTCAAATACATTTTTTTGTTTTGCAAACGCCTAATATTTCAGCTTGCAGGAAGTAAACTATTTCAAAGTTTCTTTTGGACTTCATCTGAACTTTTTCACTCGTTTTCTGTCCAACATCAGACCACAGCGTCATGTTTCGTAGCTTGTTGTTTAATTAATGAAGCAAACCAACAAGTAGGGGATAGAAGACATAACTGCACCTGTAAACAAACCCAGCTAATCCTCTTCTGTTTATTTATCCCTCAACGTGAGCATTTTAATCGTCTACGGCAATAAATAACCTTAGAAATGGCTCAAATTTGAATTGTAATGCATTTAAAATTAACAATATTTTCTAAAGTTTTTACTTCTGCTCATTGTTCTGATGTCTGTTTGAACCAGATAAAATGTGGGAAAGTGCAATTCTGATCCCTGACGGACATCCTCGAATGGAGTCACGTAAACGTCTGCTTTACAGTAGAGAGGAGGATTTTATTAAAGAAAATATATCAAATTAGCATGAAATAAGGAGCTGGAACAGAAGTAAAAAATAACATTGCAACTAATGCGACACAAATGCCAGATGAGTCTTAAACTGAATCTTCATAAAAGTGACTTGTAGAGAGTAAAGGAGCTACACTTGTGAAGGTTTAGTTTTTAGCCTGTTTTTTTTTTTTTTTGGAGACGGATAACTTTGATCACTTTACCTCACAGTCCCAGTACTGACATACAAGCTAAAATGTGAAGGTAGATGCATCCCCACACAAAACTTTTGCAGTTTAGCTATGGAAATTGTGCCACTGGACTTCCAGTATCAATTCTCGGTCAATCTGTTCCTACTTTAAGAAGGCGTTGTGCCATTTAAGGTGCGTAAAGGTGTGGAAAAACAAGCGAAAATGTCCACAACGCAGATACTGTGGTCCTGTGGGAGATCGCTAAATGTCACAATCCAAAGAGACCCAGAACCTGAAGGATCCATCATCCCTCAGTTCAGGGATGTCAAACTAATTTTCGGTTTGAGCCAAATCAAGATCGTGAATCCTCTTAAAGGGCCGGTTGTGCCAGAATGTATCAATGAAACCTGTTAAAAACTGATAAAATATCAATATTTAAAACTAAATCATATTTTTGAACATCTTTTCAGTCCTTCAAGGATTTTGTGTTGCTTTTTGTGATTTTTTTCAAAGTGTTGGTGGTACTAATTTGCAATATTTATGCTTATTTATTTTGTTACATGTGACTTTTTATTACTCATTGTGTAGATCATGGTCTATAATCTGACATCAATTAAGGCTGAGGGAGAAAGCTTTTGAGAATTTTTGAGAGAAATCTGCAATAAACTCCCAATTACATATTAGTGCAAAAAAAGTGCAGGGATTAGTTGATTTTGCATAAATTTCCACGATAACTTGGCAGGAAACGGATAAAAACTGCATTGATTTGATTGACAACAAGCACACCTAGTGTTTAGTCTAGGATCTAGAGGGCCACATAAAGAGCTGTTGCGGGCCGGATTTGGCCCACGGGCCTTGAGTTTGACTCACTTGCCTCAGCAGATTATACACTGTAAGCCATGTTATTAAAACCTCCAAGTTGCTGCTAAAATCTGTTAAATTGTGTCTGCTTTGTCATTTCTCACATGTTCGCAGTTGCACCTTTGTATCAGGCTGCTTGTAACAAACACACAAAGATCCAGTTACTGATTGGTTGCAGATGCAAAACCAGCTCATCCCTGAAGTTTCGAGGCCTGAGCGATTCACGTGGGAAGCGTAAAGCAGTCGCAGTTAAAAAAACAAAAGCAAAAATGAGCACAAATCCTCTAAACAGCCTTAAGGAACAAGGATCCACTCTACTTAAAAATATCACAAGTAAAACATTTTGTCAAAAAAAAAAAAAAATGCTGGATAAACCAAGACAAGAGGAGATATCACACAAAGCGACTGAACCGACTTCCTGTTGCTGTTTCCTACATTAACCAAATTTAATCCCGGTTAGTGAAACATAAAGCGGGTTGTGCAGCGTTTCTCTGCTTCGGCGCGGCTCTGCGAGAGGCCCGTGGTCATCTGTGGAATCAGTTAGACCTGGTGGGTGAGAGACAGGAAATACAAGTCAGCGGTGCAATGTGCATCTCCCACGCAGTTCGTCCTTTATCGCCGGCTGCCATATGGATGCCTGAGCTCACTCCACGCTTACATTGTCAAACCTCGCCAGAGAGAGGGAGAAAGAGGGAGACGGCGGTCTGGCTGGAGAGGCTAATTAATGTGTTTAATATGTGTGTGGTGAGGCTCTGCTCTTCACGTTATTGGAAGAGGATGGAAATCCCTCTCTGCCCCCCTATCGCAGGTAAACCGGAAAAGCACTTAGGTAATTTGGTGCGGGGGAAATCTGCCTCTCCTCATCATCATGTCCGGATTCTTATCTGCGGTTTGCAGTAACATACTGTAAACACGCCCATGGTCTCCTGCACAGAGACAGTGGCTGCATGCAGCGGGGTGTATCAGTGTCTGGATCGGGCCTGGATCCCATTCATGATGTCCGTCTGTGTGCCAGAGGGAGGGAGGGAGGGAAAAAAGAAAAGAAAAAGAAAAATCCTCCTTTTGTCTGTGTGTGTTTCTGATGGTGCGACTCTCCCACACGACGTTCAGGCTCATTACGGAGAGACGAGGTTATCAGCGATCAGGTTAAAGGTCACCAAGTGTCCGCTTTGAAGGCAGCAGATCTAAAACTAAATGAAGGGGGGAGTTTATCTCAGCTGACCCCTATTTCTGCTTTTCCTCCTGCTGCCACGTTTAACCCCTCCGGTTCCGTCTCTTCACGTTTCCTATCTTTGATCACCCACTCATGGGGATTGCTATCGTCTGTCTCCATCTCCTTCAGTTTTCATTCCAGGTTTGCCACTTCATCTTTTGCGGCAGCAGAGTTCCCCGTCTGTTTGTCCCAAAATCACCACACTCACACACACACACACACTCTCCCACATACAATACCTTGCAAAAGTATTCACACACCCCAAACGTTTGTGACAGAACACCAAAAGCCACAGTGTTGCAACATGTAGGGAAAATGATGTATGCTTTTGAATGCAGATTTGTAAAATGTGGTGTTCACAGTTTAATTTTGGTCTCATCTGACCAGACCACCTTCTTTCACATTTTTACTGTGTCCACAACATGCTTGGTAGCAAATACTTTTCTGATGGTCTGCAGTGGAGTTGTTGCCATGTTGAGATGAAGGACTGTCC